TTAGTCATTTCTTTTCTGTTGCCCTCCTGCTTATTAACTGTTCTTTCTCATGTACTATAGTCCTGTGTTGTCAACAACTCTCATTTTGCAGATGTGAATACTTGTACAGACACTGGTTAAAATAATTATAATAACTAGATGGGTGGCACAAAACTAAAATTTGGGAAATATTTTCTCAGTTGGTCACCACTGTGCACCTATGCTTACATTTCAGCATCTCGTTTAAACCTCTAAATTTGGCTCCACTTTCTGTCTATAAAATAGAGTACATGTACGCTAACAAGGTAGAAAAAAATCATCAAAATCTGTATTGAGTCTTCTGCTATATCTGCCCACCAGATGTCTCATCATGGGAATTCCACAGATCGGCAGTCTCACTGTTTAGGTTTTCGAGGTTGAGTATACTAAAAACCTACAAGTTTGTCAAGTCACGCAAAGAAATAAATGCAAGTTAATAAGCGTCTAAGGATGCTACCATGGAATAATACCAGAAAAAGCAATGAAATAACTTGCAAAAATGCCACTGAACATTAAGGCTACTGCTGTATAATGATTATATTTTTGCAAATGAATGCAATCAAGTGACAATAATTAAAAATTTGATTTTAAGTTTTGCCAAAATTTTAGGCTACAATTCACATGGATTTTTCAGCAAGTATGTGAAGAGTTTTATTGTATAAAATTGAATTATAGCAGATAAAGTTTCAGTATATTTAATTTTTTAATTGAAACAATTTTAAGTCACCTGCACTTTAGCCAGATAAAATATAGCTTCAGGAATAAAAAAAACTGTAAAATGTAATAAACCAATATAATTTGCTTATATTCATGTCAACAAATATCAATCCTACAGTAAAAATAAGAATTATCACTTTAATATTCCTGGGGCTTTCTTCATCCTACATATTCTGCCAAATATGTCCTCCTTCCACTGCCACTAGCACAATGCTACTTTTGTCAACATTTAACTCAAATGTCATTTCTCTGCTAAAGTTTCTTACACCCCCATGAACAAAAAATTCACAAGTTCTACAGAAGTACAATCAAACTTTAAGCATAGTGTGCATCCACTATGTGCTGCCTAGTTTCTATGTAATCTGTCTTGACGATTTAGATGGTAAGCACCTTAAGGGAAAGGCCCATTTGTACTATCACCATATAACACAGAGTGTGTATGTAGCAATAACACAGAAAATAAATCTAAAAAAACCCACTAATTTCAAATTAAAGAAAAAAAAAAGAAACAACCACAAATACTCCCAAGGAAACAATTTGCATGTTTAAAGAATTAGGAGAAAAAAAGTATCTAATATTCAATTAATGTGAAAGTCAGACAACCTATAATTATAGTTTTTATTATTCAATCAACTTCAAACTCCAAAATACATGAGGCCTCTTTTTATTTTCCTTTCCTTTCCTCCTTTCTGTTCTCCTCTCCTCTCATCTCTTCCTTTCTTTTCTTTTTTGAGATAGAGTCTTGGTCTGTCTCCCAGGCTGAAGTGTAGTGGTGCCATGATAGCTCACTGCAGCCTCAAACTCCTGGCCTCAATGATCTTCCTGAGTCGGCCTCCTAGAGTGCTCAGATTACAGGTTTAACAGCCCTAAACTGTCTTCTAAAATCAAATCATTGTCTTTAAAATATATAAATAATTCTGTAAACTAAAATTTACTTCCCTGTAATATTTTATATTTCAATTTTAAAAATCACCAAAAACGTATGTTGAAATGTGGCTCTGTCATTTAAGAAAAATGATTTTCTGTCTTAGGTAAAAATGCCTTGTGGTATACCTTAGCCTTAAAAAACATCACTATATGTCTCTTAAAACACAGTAACATTCACATTGAATGATGAAGAATTAAAGAGAGGAAAAACTAACAACACAGTAACAATTGAGATTCAGTGTAAGATTTTTGTATGAACTCTAAAATGCCCTACATCTAACGTGAAGAAAATGCTTAGTACATAAGTAAACTACTGACCATTTGGTCAACGCTCAATTTCCTATAATAGAAATAATATAACTAGTAAAACCAAGAATCTAACAGATCACCACATATATATTTATGTCTTAGTTGTTGCTTTCTTTTCTTTGACTCAGCCAATTTGTGTGAATTTCCTTAGTATCCTCCAGAGTTCATAAAATTGATATAGTCCAATATTTCCCTTCATGCTATAGCTTATTCATTTTCATCGTTCAAACTATATCCTAGAATACATCTATTTTCATATTAAGGCACTTTAGTCTTCAATAACGTTGAGATAAAAATCATTTTTAATGATGTCAGTTGAATGATGCAATCTCAGATTTATAGAACTTTATATTGCATTCTAGTATTCTACTCTATGGTAAGCAAATTGGAACATCAAAGGCCAGTTTCAGCATAAAGACAAAATACATAATCCTCTTCACTAACTCATTCTTTAGGTTAAGCATCATCTCCTGGGCCATCCAGCCTCAAGAGCCTGCCATCTGTGTAACCACACTTAGAAGAGCCCCAAATTTTCTTTAATGCTCTGATGTTGCCACAGTGAATTCATTAATTTTTGAACAAGGGGCATGCATTTTTATGTACACTGGACACCACATATTGAGGAGCTGCTCCTGTCTTTGGGAGTGATAAAACTTTAAGTCACTATAAATTTGTCCATCAAATAACTTTAAGTCAGTAGGGAATTTCAACAAGGACAGTAAGAGGCACAGCAAATGTTTGTATTATAGAGACAATGGGAAAAAAGAAAATCTAAAATAAAAGATGTATGCATAAATTAGCCATTTTGTTAGCTAATAATTATCTGTTGAGTACCTTCTATGTGCCATGCATTGTTTCGGTCACTGAGATTATAGCAATGTTACAGACAAAGTCTCAGGCTTTGTGAAATTTCCACTCTGGAGAAACCACATCTATCTGTAGTAAGCAGGGCCTTTCCAGAGGTAGTGTTTTGCAAGAAAACCATATATTTATTTTATCCCTAATATTGTTACTTTTGGTAGCCAGGCAAATTATTGATAGTTAAGAAAATTTAACAATTACAACCAATCTCATTACTAATGTTGAATTTTCCCTAAAGGATTGTTGGAAATTTCATAAATCAATGTTAGTCACCTTAACTATTTTGTCATTTGTAACACATAGTTTCAAACAGGCAATATAACTAGCACTTTGGAAGACTCAGGTGGGCGGATCACAAGGTCAAGAGATTGAGACCATCCTGGCTAACATGGTGAAACCCCATCTCTAGCAAAAACACAATTAGCTGGGTGTGGTGGTGTACGCCTGTAGTCCCAGCTACTTGGGAGGCTGAACCTGGGAGAAGGAGGTTGCAGTGACCCAAGATCACGCCACTGCACTCCAGTCTGGTGACAGAGCAAGACTCTGTCTTAAAAAAAA